TTGCCGACTTTATTTAGTTGAATCAAATGAACTATTCTAGTCATCTCAACTTACATCAATCATGACTAAATATATTAAAAACATGATTAGCAGGCGACACAGTGGCGCAGTAGTTATGCTGTCGCCTCACAGCAAGAAAGTGACTTGGCTGGGTCAGTTGGCATTTCTGTGTGGAGTTTGCATGTTCTCCCTGTGTTTGCGTGGGTTTCCTCAGGGTGCTCTGGTTTCCCCCACAGTCCAAAGACATGTGGTATAGGTGAATTGGGTAGGCTAAATTGTCCATGTATGAGTGTGAATGAATGTGTGGATGTTTCCCAGAGATGGGTTGCGGCTGGAAGGGCATCTGCTGCGTAAAACGTGCTGGATAAGTTGGTGGTTTATTCCGCTGTGGCGACCTAAGATTAATAAAGGGACTAAGCCAAAAAGAAAATGAATGACTGAATGAATGAAAAGCATGATTAACTTAGTTAAGAAAGTAAGAGCAACATAAAAAAAATATTTGTTGTCTTGACAGTTTCATTTACAGTGCAACAACAAAAGATTGCACTGCACCAGGTCTGCATCCAAACCCCTCTCAAATCTTCAACGTTGCTTAAATTGCTAAATTTTCTACAAAATGTTTACAACAAACAAGTGTAAAAACTAAAAATGTGTAATTAACCTTTCAAGTAATAATATCTAACGTTTTCTTTTTTTAAATGCAAATTCTTTTTATTTTTTTATTTACTGTTGTACTCATAATCTCTTCTAATGTTATGTTTAACTTTTAAAATGTATTGTTTAAATGTGCAACAATACAGTGCTCAGTATAATTGAGTACAGCCCATTTTGAAAAAGATTTTTTCCGCTTTTCTCAGTGAATATAGAAAATATTGGTGCATTTGAACAAAACAGATTTATTAAACAGATATATTTAATAAAATAATATTTTAGTCACAGAACATCTCTAGAAATGGAAAGATAATACATTTAAATTCATGCAAAATATTGTAAAAAAAAAATTACAAACTACAACATTTCAACAAAATTGTTTAATTTTTTATTATTTTTTATTTTTGCTATTCTTGAAAACGTTATTTCATATTTTCCCCTAACATACACACTTGGGCTACCAACATTTTAACCATTGTTTTAATTTATTTTGTTAGATTAGCTCCAGGTTTGGCTTCAGTACCGACTAAACTAATGTAAAGTATATGCACAAATATAATATTGTATAGCATCCTATAGAAAATATTCATTTAAATGAGAGATTTGTGGTGGGTGTTCTCATATATGCTGAGCACTGTAGCTGTTATCTGGGATGATATCTCACAGAGTTTAAAAGAGATAAGATTGATGTTGACTACTCTTTTTGTTGTTTACATTTGGAAACATTACCCCACACTTTCACTTTCAATTATTACTGTGTCTATTTTTAAGGAAAAGGCACATGCCAATTTTGATTTCTGGAAATAAAAAGTTTAATATTTGCTTAAAACTTCCTTCATATTCATTATGATTATTTTATTATTTTGATTTCATATTAATATTAGCACATTTTCAAATAAAAACCTTTCTTTCAGTAGTTTTTGAGGATGAGGTTTAAGCGTGGCGCAGTGGGTAGCATGATCGCCTCACAGCCAGAAGTTCGCTGAATCAAGCCCCGGCTGGGTCAGTTGCCATTTCTGTGTAGAGTTTGCCAGTTTTCACCGTGGTTGGCATGGTTTCCCCCACAGTGAAGGCAAGAGTGCATGGGTGTTTCCCAGTATTGGGTTGCAGCTGGAAGGGCATCTGCTGCGTAAAATATTTGCTGGATAAGTTGGCAGTTAATCCCGCTGTGGCAACCCCTGATTAATAAAGAGACCAAGCCAAAAAGAAAATGATTGAATGAATGGTCATGATTAAAGTGGACAAAAAGAGAGCAGTAAATGAGATGAACTACTTATGGATCCATAAAAATGTTTGTCTTTTAATTCAAGATCAATAACTGTTATTTTGACAATGTATTCTACAGCCTACCACAGATAAATCCTGTAATGTGCATTGTGTGTATCATATTTTACTTTATTATATCTTGTTTTATTATTTTAATGAAAAACATGAGCTTCAAAATTTATTTGCTTTAATTTAATATCATAAATCATATTTAGGTGATCATTTTGGAACATTGCATTGTTTTTGGTATTTTATTATTGACTCAGGTGACTTCCAAGCAGCCATGTTGTTTTAAATGTTATTTATATTTAGAAAACTATTTGCTATTTTCATTTGTTATATCAAACACCCCATTTCTGAATTAAAATAAGCCTATATTTAGTTTAGAATATATCCAAATAATATGCTATATAATAATATTCATTCTTTAACCAGTAAGCAGTAAAGAAATACTATTTATATTTGGAAACACTTAAAAGGCAAGTCATTTGCTTCATAACTATTTCAAAAAAACATTTCTTCAAAACAAGCTATAACACAATGAAGCCACATTCCTAGGACCAATTTTTAAGTGAGTTTTTAAATTAAAGATGATTTAATTTTAATAAAAAGTTAATCCAATATTTATAGACAAAAATATATTCAGATGGGAACATTTGAAGGTGTATTTCTTGTGTATTTAAATCATATTCAGGAGATTTTCTTATATAATGACCCCATTTTTAATATGCAATATTAAAAGGTAAAAAGTGTTTAGAAACAAACAAGAAATGTTGTTATTATGTTTTTAAATATAATATGCATGCAAGCATTTGATTGATGTGATATTTCATTACACCAAACCCATTACAGTTTGTTATTTGTGATATTCATGATTCACATTTAAGTTTGAAGACGTTGTTTGTTCCTTTTAAAACATATGACAGCATTTTGCTATTGGCTTCTTTTACTTAATATGCTTTGAATTAATTTTATTTTAGTATTATTTAAATATATAGTTATTTTTTACCATTTACCTAACTCATTATTATGTTACTTTTGTATAATTATTATAGAATATAAATCGTTTTATGAAAATTGTCAGTATTCATCTGCCGACAGTCATAAACATAATTTTGCTATGCAACAAAAAGTTGTTTTGCAAAGTCTACTGTTAAATCTGAAACATCATAGGAAGGTAGACAACGGCACCACCTTGTGTAAAACTCGATCATTGCAGTAGAATTTTGTATACTGTATACATGAATTCCTTTTCTTGTCGGGTTAGTCCCTTTATTAATCCGTGGTCGCCACAGCAGAATGAACCGCCGACTTATCCAGCAAGTTTTTACACAGTGGATGCCCTTCCAAGGGCAACCCATCTCTGGGAAACATCCACACACACACTCATACACTACGGACAATTTAGCCTACCCAATTCACCTGTACTGCATGTCTTTGGACTGTGGGGGAAACCGGAGCATCCGGAGGAAACCCACGCGAAGGCAGGGAGAACATGCAAACTCCACACAGAAACGCCAACTGAGCCGAGGTTCGAACCAGTTACCCAGCGACCTTCTTGCTGTGAGGCGACAGCACTACCTACTGCGCCACTGCCTCGCCCCTTTACATTTTAAGACGTTGTTTTATCATTAATCTACATTTATACATTTTTTCATTATACAGTGCCCAATATATATGAATTTATATATATATATGAATATAAATTTCTCATTTAAATGAATATTTCTGTAGGAAGCTTTGCTGTAGGGTGTCGGTGGCAGAGTGGGTAGCACAATCGCCTCACAGCAAGGGTCAGTCGACATTTCTCTGGTTTTCCCCAAAGGCATGCAGTAAAGCTAAATTGGCTGTAGTGTTTGCAGGAGTGTTTAGCAGTGTTGGGTTGTGGCTGGTAGGGCATCCCATGTGCTGGATAAGTTGGTGGTTCATTTCGCTGTGGTGACCCCAGATTAATTAAGGGATTAAGCCGAAAAGAAAATGAATGAACAAGCTTGAACTATTATATTTGTGCTTTATTATTTTAGTCAGCAGTAAAGCCATATCTGGAGTTAATGTCACAAAATAACTCATGATGATGGTAACTTAACTTATGATAGTGGCCCAATTTAGGATAATGGCCCAAATGAATACACCCAAATTTATATGTGTAAAATAATAATAATACAAATAATTAATAATAACTATTTAACAAAAAAATTAAAACTGAAAAATTCAAGAGAAACACAAAAATGTATAAAATTTTGTTGAAATTATGTAATGTCATTTTTTTCAATATTTTGCATGATTTAAATGTACTTTCTATTGATAATAATTTCTATGATCTATATCTTAAATAATTTCTATGATCTAAATCTTTCTATTGCTAAAACTGTTTGTGAATATTGACTAAAATATAATTTTAATAAATAAATCTGTTTAATAAATCAGTTTCGTTCAACTGCACCAATATATATTATATTCACTGAGAAATGGGGTGATGGGGTGGTGCAGTGAGTAGCATGATCGCCTCACAGCAAGAAGTTTGCTGGTTCGAGCCCCGGTTGGGTCAGTTGGCATTTCTGTGTGGAGTCTGCATGTGTTCGCGTGGGTTTCCCCCACAGTGGTATAGGTGAAGTAAATAAACTGAATTGGCCGTTGTGAATGTGTGTGCATGCAAGAGTGTATGGGTGTTTCCCAGTGTTGGGTTGCAGCTGGAAGTAAAAACATGTGCTGGATTTGTTGGCGATTCATTCCGCTGTGGCGAACCCTGATTGATAAAGCGACTAAGCTAAAAAGAAAATGTATGAACTGAGAAATGGATAAAAAACATTCATTTTCAAAATATAATGCACTTAAATATGTTGAGCACTGTGTATAAGAGAACTTTGAGTAAATCTGAAATTTTGAGAAGGTAATGGCACCACCTTGTGCCAAATTCGATTATAACAAATGATTAAACAGCTCAACTATATTCTTAACCAAATAAACACTCACTTAAAGCGCGACGCGACAAACTCGAACCGCCGCGTTTGAACAAACAAACCTGCGACGCGTTGAAATGAAGCGTCGCCTCGTTTCGCGTCGCGTCTGTTGGGCTTTAATCATCGGGGCGTCGCCTTGGCAAGAACGGACCAATCGCGACTCCGCTCAAGACTTTGTAAACAACAGAGTCGCACGCTGGATGAAAACTTTACTACGAGAAGATGTCGCGTGACCAATGCAAGCAGTAAATCACTTCTTTCGGTAAGTGGCGTGTGTTTTAAATACTCACAGGCTTGTGTGAGCTTAAAATGCTGGTCCTGTCGATGAAACGTGCACTTTTTTTCTCATCTCTGAAAGTACGAGCGTAACTGCGATGTTGGCAGACATCCGGGACAGTCTGTGAAAAATGAACGCTGCTGGGTTTGTTTGTCAAAGTCTTTCTTTGTTGTGACATAACAAGCAGATTTAGGCATAACAAAGGGGAAAGGGTTTGTATGGTGGTCGTTTTTGTTGATGTTTGTTTAGAGAAAGAATGAAGCGTAATGAGATCCTTATCGTAAGTGATACACTGTTGCGCAATTGAGCCCCAGGGAGCATCGCTGGGCGGACTTGGGCTTCTTTATTATTTTTTCTCCGTGTATTATTTAATATAGGGAAGTTCACGGGGTCAAACATGCTTTGTTCATATTTAATGTCTCTTATAGGTGTATTTATGTGTTTTGGAAGAGGTTGGAGAAAAAGTGGAAGATATTGTCAGTTGTGTGTACATTTGAGGGTTATTGTGATTTTATGGGTGCATGACGCGATGTTTGTTTTGTGCGGAACGGAAGTACCCTAAAACGCATTGAAAAGTGTGTTTTAAATACACCGTTGTAATGTGACATGAAGTCAATATTGATAAAATAAGAAAAAGAATTGAAATAAATAGTTATTAAAATATATATTTTTAAACAATTTATAAGTTTATTTAATAATTAACCATTTATAATTTATTTAAACTTATTTGGATTTTTTTGTATTAAAATAGGGAAAAAGCTTTCTTTTTAAAAAATATTTGTACCTTTAAAAAACTTTGTAAACGAAAGTCAATGTGATGGCCAGCATGTAAGAGGAGGGAAAAAAATAATAAACATATTTATAAGTCGGACATCATATTTATTTACTTTACCGAATTATTAAAAAATATAAAAATATTAGTTTTAAATAGTCATAAGACCTAACATAAATTCAAGTCAATGTGACATTACCATTATGCAGGAACAATTTTTGTTGCATAACATATAACATTATTTAGAAAAAGCACATTGTGTTACATTACATTCATTAATTCTGAAAAATGAAGCAATGGCATTCACAAAATGATTGTTTCTTTTGCTTTTTTTTAAGCAAACAAACTTACACGATTATTACTGCTAAGTTACAAGATGATAGACTTCATAACTAAGAACTTATTCTATTATCATAAAATAAAAAAAAATAGTTAAATAATAATTGATTTATGTGACTTTTTGTTTTTTACTACCTTTCGGTAAGAGACCCAATAAGGGCAGATTCCCTGAACTGTGAATGGCATCCAAAGCAGGCCAGAGTGAATACCTTGGATTTAATTAAAACATTTCTGAATCTTTTGCTGAATAATTCAACCAACATGGAGTGTTTCTTTAGACTGTGTAACAGTGTGCTCAGTGAGTCATTGCTGCCTTTCTCACAACAACAACAACAACAACAACAACAACAACAACATCAACAACAATAAATGTTTCTGAACACTATTAGGGTTCAACACTCTTAAAAAATGAAGGTTTGTTATAAGCATCAGTGGTTCCATTTATTAATAACACCTTTTATTTTCACAAAAGTTTTTTAGTAGAAAAAGGTGCGTCAGAATTAGAAAAGTATGAAAAAAATGGTTTTTAAAATACCTTTTCACTAAAAGCTTTAGTACTTTGTTTCTCGCAGATGTGTGAACTAAGTTTCTGTTTACTGTTGTTTCCATATGACTAAGTATTTCCAACTGAAACCTAATAAATCAAGTTGGGGCAGCGTTTTTTTTCGCTCCTCCTCATCTTTCACTTGCAGTAAACTAATGTATGGGCATGGCTATGCGTATAGCACCCAAGCCGTCAAACTAATGTCATCAGAGAACGACTGCCAATCCAGAGTGGAAGCAAATGGTTAGATTGTGATTAAAGATTACCAAAGCAAAGTTGTTTTTTCAGTGGATTAACTGTTCACCTTAATATTAACAATGTGCTCTAGCAAAATAAATATTATAAATAACTTTGTGTTAATTAATATATGGAGCGCTTCTCCTCTGCTGCTTTCCCTAATGTAATCGAAATGAGATGAACAAATGAGGAAATGCTTCAGCAGTTTTAGTTTTTGGCAGATGCTCGTTCAAGACACTGAAACACAGGATGTGGTACAGGCTCCGCGCAGCTCATGTATGCTCATCCAGAGACTCCTGTCTCCTGAGGAAGAGGACTGGGTGAAATATAATACACAATGCCCTCCAATAAAATTGGCACCCTTGATATATATGAGAACAGAAGACCTGACATTTTTGTTGCTGTTTAACATTATTAATAATAACAAAAACTTCTATTCCAACTATGAACATAAAACCACAAATCCAGTGATCAAAATACAAAAGCTTACTCTAACTAACTCTCAGGGCTATTAATATCGAAGTTGATATTCAGCTTCACCATGTTGGTGTTTAATAATATCGAATTTTTACAAGGTGGTTTGTTTGCACGACACTCAACCCCTAACCTGGAGAACAAGGGCATACACACGTACACTAAGGACAATTTTAGCTTACCCAATTCACCTATAGCGCACTCAGAGGAAACCCACACAAACACGGGGAGAACATGCAAACTCCACACAGAAATGCCAACTAACTCAGCTGGGGCTCGAACCAGCCACCTTCTTGCTGTGAGGTGACAACAATACCCACTGTGCAACCGTGTCACCCATTAAAGCACAAATATCTTTGTTGAATAGACTTTTATTTATTAATGACTAAATTTTAGAGTTTATTAATTATTAAAACCCCCAGTTGTTCCCAGTGATGAAAGATTTTGTTAATACACCTGCTCTGTCACCTATATATCAATGGTTTGTTGAAATTCTTGATTGTGATTGGCTGGTGGCTGTGCATTAGTTTCATTGAAAGCACAGATAGTTCCAGTCAGTTTTGATCACAAGTCGAAATAAATGATCTTCCCCCAAACGTTTGTAGTTAACATAGCATGTGCTGCACAGGAAACCCATGAGGATTGTTAATTATCAAAAAATTCAAAAATACTCATCCATTATGCCACAAAATTTTAAGACTTTTTTTTTTTTTTAAATATAGAATATAGTTAAAGTCAAAGCAGAAGTTTATGTATTAAGGATGGCGCATTTAGTCTCTGAGCTTCAGGCAGTCAGCGGCGGCTCAGTGAACTTATTGTTTACTGATTGTTAAAATCCCCAGTGATGACATTTCAGGGTTACCAGGAATTATAGAGAAAATATATACAGAAAAATAAAAGTGGGTATTTGGTAAAAAGATATTCCTTTATGTTGTCCATTTGTCAAGATGTTATAACAGCATACCACAGTTTTAGATGATTTATACTAACCTCTATTTAAAGGGTTTTATCTAAACATCAAACTTGTCATGTGGTGTGACTGTCCGAGCTATGTGTGACCAACTAATATTACTAATATGACAATGTATCTCAGAAAAGTTTTAATAATTGATAGATTCACAGTTTAAGTAGCAGAATTTTTACTGGACACAGAAAGTGCATGATTTTAAAGCAAGCTAATTACATTTTGTCCATAAAATGGGCATCATATGGTGTGACACTACAATCTGTATTTTGAGTACGTAATCATTTTTAAATCATAATGATGAAGAGGTCCACACACAGTGTCATCTATGGAGTCTTTAGAAGTTCAAGAGGAGAACTTTTAATTAAATAGCTCTGTATCTAATATGCTCACTAGTGGTGTCATGTGGTGTGTCATGATTTACATAAATGTCATAAATAGAATGGATCTGCACAAAAAAAAACTTTAAACATTATTGTATCATAGTAAAGTTAGCTACTATACCATAAGAGTTGATGCAACAAATTGGTGAATAAATCCCATTTTCAATGCAAAATCTAAAAGACCACGCATATTTTGGGAAATTTAAGGGACTGCTCAATATTTTTTATGCCAAAAAAAAATAATAATAATAATATTACTAAAATATGTATAAGCATAAATAAAATTTGCACATGTTGTTTTAAAGTTACTTGCATATAACATCACTGTATTTTATATATACATATACATATTATTATTATTATTATGTAAATTACTGTAAAGCATTGTCAGTGTATTGGTGATTTGTATCGAGGATGTTAAAGCACTCTTCTTTGTTTAAAATCTAATTGGCTGATCTCTCTGTGTGGCCGTTATGGTTGATTTATCTCCTGCGCACACTGTCACCTGCTGTGGTTTCGAAGAGACTTTCCTTCTGAGAAATGACAATGTTTACTTTCAGTTATTTGCAAGTTTCGGATTGGAAAAACAACTGCGGGGGAGATGTATTGGAAAAAGTAAAAAATAAATAAATTAAGTAAATAAATTAAATTAAGTAAATAAATTAATTTTTTTTTATTTAAAATGTATTTAAACTTAATGACTTAAAATGATTTAAAGTCTAATCAAATATGTCAAAATATAACATTATCGATTACATATTTACAAATGTTTTTGATTTATTGTTAAATAATTTTTTTTGTTTTAATTGTCTGAATTCTCTATCTATCTATCTATCTATCTATCTATCTATCTATCTATCTATCTATCTATCTATCTATCTATCTATCTATCTATCTATCTATCTATCTATCTATCTATCTATCTATCTATCTATCTATCTATCTATCTATCTATCTATCTATCTATCTATCTATCTATCTATCTGAAATCATATTAAATTAAATTAGTACCATTTATATTATAAATGATAGTCTTTTGTTAATATGATCAGTAACACTGTTCTATATTGATCTAGATTGTAACACTTTTTCAGCAAGGTTTCATTAATGAATGTTAATGTATTTACTAACATGAACAAATGCTATATATAGTTACAAAATAATAATAATAATTAATGTTTTAATAGGGTTATTAATACATATTACTTAAAGCCATCAGTTATGCATTTATAAAGGTTAGTAACTATATTAAGACCCACAATAAGTATTTAT